GGGTGGCGCGGGAGCGAGGAAAAAGAAAAAAAAAAGAAAAAAGACAACTTGGGGGGAAACCACTACAAATTCTTGTGCATTCCCCTTATTCACTATTCTGTCCCTTGGAAAGGCTGAGCAAGAAAAAACAGCATTCACTTAAGTAGCACGCTAAGGTTCAGTTGTGCGTCTTTAGGCACATACCTATGGATCGGGAGTGGGTCAGCAGCTGGGCAATATCTCGGTTGATTTTTCTAAGGTAATCTTGACACTTCTCCCACAATCCTCTGCTCTGAAGACTGATCTAAAAAAAAAAAAAATAGATCAATAGACAAAGAGATATATTTGGCACATGAAACAGAAAAGCTGTCCCTGCCACAGAATGAAGTCGCTCACCCACTAAATTCTGTAACAGAGGAACTAATCCTTTGTGTTAGTTACATCTTCTCTTCTCTTGTGGCAGACCTGTTTTTAAGATGATGCAATGACTAGCAATAGACTGATCTAAAAAAAAAAAAAATAGATCAATAGACAAAGAGATATATTTGGCACATGAAACAGAAAAGCTGTCCCTGCCACAGAATGAAGTCGCTCACCCACTAAATTCTGTAACAGAGGAACTAATCCTTTGTGTTAGTTACATCTTCTCTTCTCTTGTGGCAGACCTGTTTTTAAGATGATGCAATGACTAGCAATAAAGGCTTACTGGAGATGTGTATTAAGACCAAGAGAAATGAGATTTTCTCATTAATTGTGGGAGGCCTGTATCTTCATTTTGAGCACGTAACTTGAACACAAAAGTCATAACTGAAACAACCGATAGAAGATCCTGATTATAAATCCCAAAGAGAAGTATTAAACATGGACATCCTTATTCCATTCAAAAAAACAGGCAGTGGAACCTATACACCCTCCCCCCCGACATCTACACAGTCGCCCTTTTGTTGGGCATCACAATATCCTAAAGCCCATTTACTCCATGCAGTTCAACATGATACACAGAGGTCCAAGCTTCATCTCAATCAACTGGGAAGTCAAAAAGAAAGGCAATGCACATAAGATCATGTGCCCAAACAGTAAGGCCACTTCCTCATCAGCAAGAATTGCTGACTTGTTTTGGCGCGTTTCCTTTTTTTTTTTTTTCCCCAGGACTTGGGCTCAAAGCGTGCATGGTGTAATGCCATACTGACTCAGGGGCTCAGTTAGGTTCAGCTAAGAAGTCTCTGTGCGGTGCTCTACTGCACAGTGTAGCACCCCCTCAGAACTACAGCAAGACTTTCCTGACTAGTCCATGAACACAATATAAGCATCCAGTATTTTATAAAGTTAGTTCTATTTTTCAGAGTTTCTCTTTAAACAGGATTCATTATTACAGTACTTATTATCTACTTAAGTTTCAGCTAAATAACAGGAATAGTTTCAAAACAAATGAGAAACTTCCACTTCTTGCACATTCTCTCATGATACTTGCCTAACATCACTCTACGTGGCTTAAGCTAGATCTTTCTACTTGTCTTTGTGATGGATAACAACCTTAACATGGTAAATTCCAATGAAAAAGTCTGGAATGATTTATATTTTATAGTAGTCACAAGGACTGAAGAATGTAACGTTTCATTGCCTGTTCCTACTATAAACGCACCTTCTCAGGGCATACAAAGCCAATGGTTTTCCTTAACTTACCCTCCAAAATCAGAACAAGATCTGAGAAGATTTTGCTCTACACCTGGCATTTAAAAGCTGATACCTTAACTGACTCTGCTCACTTTCTGGGACTAACAAAGCTACCCAAAGTGCTAATCATCATCATCATCCCAGCACTGGGCTGGCAATTTTCTGACTCTCTGTGTAGGAAAGACTTTGCCTCCTGGCACTTGTTGAAGCTATCTGTAGAAATATCATCATTGTTAGAATAAATTATTTGCCATAAACAGTAACTAAACTTTATCATACTACTTCAGAGAACGTTAATCTGATTTAGGGATTACATAGTGATGAAAAGCTATCTTCTGAAGAATCTAAGTTATATTTGTTTGGGATAGATATATGATGCAGCTGCAACTTGTTAGGAAATGCAATACTACACATACCTTGTAATGCTTTTGGATATGCTGTTGGAGAAAGCAAGCACACCAATGGTTGTCCAAATAAGTTTGTAAAATTCTGTAACAGATAAGAATTTTGAAGTATTGATGGTCACTTTGCTTCCTTTTGAATATTCAGCAGGTTAAGGGTACGAACAAAGATTATTAATGACAGAGAACACACTAATGCCCATCACACAGTTTAGCATTGGCAGTAAGGCTGACAAGTTACCTTACTTACAGATCACAGTACAGAAAGAATGTAACCCGTTACATTTTAGAGAATTATAATTCTCTCATTTCACTGCTACTGATAGCAGACACTAATTTCATGGAAATATGGCTTTCAGTAGTAATACATTACTTGGAAAAAATCATGTTCTGCAATAAAAATGAAAGCCATTGGCTTTCACGTCAAAATAGATCTAGCATCTTTCCTCAATACCAACTGAATTATCCAGTCAAAGTAATTTCTTTCCCCTTTTCTTTCTAGCAGGAGGAACTGTTTCTGATGAAACAGAAGATCCCAGTGCAGAAAAGTTTTAAAATAAGTTTCCTTTAAAGCAAGTACATCATAACCTTCACATCTGCTATACTGAACCCTCATTTTACAATATTCATTTCATGCACCTTCTCCACCAGCACCTTAAATATTGCCTAAGTGTCCTGTTGCACAAGAATTTCTCCAGAAACCTCAAATGACGCCTTTGTCCAGTTTCACCAACATTTACCCGGTACCAATCCTACTATGTATCTGTCTGACAGGTATACTGATTGGTAATAATTATCACCAAGAAAAAAAAAATCATTTACACAACCTCATTAACTGTCATATATCTCACCAAAACAGCCTTCTTAAAACTGAAGGCTTGCAAAACCATAGAAAATGTAAATGATCATGTCTCATCCTATCAGAGCACACATTCAAATCATACATCCAGAGCACATGAGTGCAACACACATTTCTACAGATTATATTCTTAAAATTGGCAGGTTACAAATGTAAGGTATACATCACCAGAAGTATTTGCTTGTGTAGAATCATCAAAAAGCTCATTTTTTAATTCCTTCTGGCTTCTGCTTTATTCAAAAGGAACTTTCCCTTCTGGGCAGTATATTTCAATTAAATTAGTTTCACTGAATTAATTTAATCTAAGTCTGCTAAGTACCAAAGACAGTAATCTAGTCTAATCAAAATAAAACATTTCCCATATCTGACAGAGTGCTGACTAGTCCTAAAAACCCTTCTATTTCATTAAAAGCTCAAGGGAGATTTATAATGCTAGATACTAAGGTTTGGTCTCTAATGAAGAAACAAAGACTGTTACCATGAAGACAGTAACTGCAGGCCAACACAGTAATTAGTAAAACTGTACTATAAAGAAACATTTAAAACTCCAGAAGGAGTCACCCCAGACACTGCCAGTTTGAACAGAACAGACACTGGCAGGTTACAAGTTCTCAAGTAACATGTATGCTTAGTATTCATCTTGTATCACTCAGAGACCAAAGTAGACATTCCATACGCTCCATCAGTAAAAATGACAATACAATTAAACACTGCCTACAGCTATAAAGCAAAACCAAGGGTCACTCATGTATCTCAGAAAAGGTATTACTCACTGACAGTGTTTGAGATCATTTTGGACTCTGACCCAGCAGAGGATAAGTCAACATAGCTCGTAAGTCCTGCAAAGGGGAGAAACTACACGGTTTAACACAGAATGCGCTCTTTGGAACACAGCTGCTCATGCCAGTCGCTACCTCTAAACTACAGATCCAGGAGGGTAAGACTCTCAAGCTTCCAGGTATCTGTCTCAGCTCTTGCCCAGACACAAATGCCTACCACAGCCCAAGCGAACACCAGGATTCACTCACCACCACCACCTCCACTCATGATTTCCACAGAAATCCACTGTGGGCGTACATGCAACAAAGGAACAGGGGCATGTTACAGCCATGGCTTGGAGCGGAGGACCACAAGGTGCACCAGAAGAACATGCCCTGCAGCCTGGATGTTGGTAGCGGCTCTGGATAAGGAATGCTGTACCTTTCGGTGCATGGACAATGCCAAAAAGGGTAAAACACATTTTTGTTTCAAAATTGACTCTGGTTTTTTACTTCAGTATTGAAGTTTTCCAACAGAAGCATTGCTGCTTTTTAAAATGCATCTCATATACATCCATTTCCAAAAAAGAACTACTCATCATCTCCAAAAGAAGTCACTTCACATGTAAGCTTTACTAAGCTGAATACTTACACCACATCACCGACAAAGGCCTTGCATTCTCACTGGCCAGAGTTTTTGGTTTGGTTTTTTTAAGACTTTGCATTTGACTATAATCTTAGACAACCACAGCTATAAGAAGATACTGATTTTGAAGTATTATTTCATCCACATATACAGTCGTAACCTTCAAGAACACAGCCATCTATATTTAAATGGAAATGTTAAAAACAAAAAAAATCATGGCTTTAAGTAGATATGCTCGATTTGCAGTTATCTTCCACTTTCAGCTAAATATACAGGGGAGGAAGCTGTTCAAGTGCCGCTGATTTGACAAACTGGCAAGTCACTTCCTGGCAGGACTTACTTTCAGTCATCACCATTTAAGTCCTCCAGAGAGAGGGAGAGGATGAGAGTGCGTGCAGGAGAGCAGAAACGGCTTGTAGAAAAAGATGTGTGAGCAGTTGCTGTTACTGCCAGTATTGCTAGCAGTGACATTTAAATGTCAGGATAACTACTGTCCTATCAGAAAAGATCAGAGCAGCCATGTGGAAAAAAGTCAGTACACTGACTTCAACTTCTCACACAATTGCACAGAACCTTTGTTTGTGCCAGTGCTTGAGTCTACAAAGCATCTCACAACACACCCAGAGGTGTGTCACAGGACAGCACTATCAGTATATTCTGGTGACAAGGAACCAAGCACGTAAGCACGGACAGAACGACGACAGACAGGAATTTACAAGGGCTAGAAAATACTGAGATGGAGAGCTCTGCCATCCACCTTCAGTTGAAAACAAAACAAAACACCTAAACTCATCCCCACACATCTCTCTGCCTAGGTTCAATGGCAATAGATTGTGAAGGTAAATGTGTGTTCTCAAACACTGAATATATTTTTTTAAATATGCTCTTTTTAGATTCCTCACAGTTGTGCCCACACTATTCTGATCTGGGTCAGAGCTCCTAGCAGCCATTTCCATAATCCTGTCCTGAAATACTTCCAAAACTCACATTTCTATACTCCTTACACACAGGCAGAGTTGGACTTCCCTCACAGCAGCTGCTCTGTGTGCTTAACAGACAGAGCACTGGGGTATTTCACACTAGTGATGGTCAGTTCACTGCAGAACAAGGAAAAGAAACTAAATGGAAGTTACAGTTTTTGCTTACTGTGTGCCCACAAAATCTAAAGAAAATTCAATTAATCAAATTTAAATGTAATACAAAAAGCAAATTCTACTGTAAACACTTGACAGTTATTCTCACAAAAGCTACAAGTCTACATGTAGGAATCCATCACCTCAAAAAGATCCTTTGCTCTAAGCTGTCCACAGAACCCTGGTATGACCAGAGCTGTATTCGAATTAAGGATCACCAGGAATCCCTTACTCCCTCTTACAGAGTTGATCCACTTGACATCTTTCAGCAATTCTACTAGAGAGGAAGGGGGTAAAGAAACCAAACCAAAACAAAAAACCAAACCCCAAACCCAAGCCACACTTCTTATCCCGAAACAAAACCAACGCCCCCCTGTTGTTATACTGGAATGAATGTCAGAAAAAGCAGAGGAAAATAAATCCCTACCAAATTCTCATTTTCTCAGAAAGACAAGTAAACCATTCTAATTGTATTTCCCCCCCCTTTAAATGGGGAAGGGAGTTTAATAAAAAGCAGATTTCACTGAAATCTAGTGAGGTGAAGTTAAATGCAGTAGTATTTAAAAAGTCCTTTGAAATGCATTACAATACAACAAACCAAAAACCCTATAGAGAGGCCAGATCATTATTAAGACTGTCAGGTAAAAGTTCCCTGGCTCAATACAGAACTATTCTGAATTGTACTGACCACTGATTTAGTATCTCTCGTTGGCCAACAAATGCCTTTAAAACAAATGACACACACTGTGGATACTGAACAAGGAACAAGTTCATCTGGCCACTAGACGTCCCTACTCCTCCTCTGAAATGCAGCTGTGAATGTTCACTTTTCTCACTGCAAATAATGGAGCTATAAAAAGGAAGACATAAGGAAGTGGCACTTTCCCCAGATATAGCACATTCTTAATATCCCATTCATGAATGAAATAAATATCGTAATGCTATCCAGATGCAACTGGCAACTGAGATTGAAAATGCCTGCTTCTGTATTACCCGAATTGCAGATTCCCAAAGGTGATTTGGCATGGAGTAATTCTACTGTAAGTCCATAGCACCCTAGGAAGGAGGCTCATTGTCCAAGCATATACCACTCTACAGTAATACTGGATGCTAATTTGAGTCTTGTTATTTCCTTGGTTCAGATACTTTTCAGACACAGATACCCTGTGTTTTATAAGATCAGGCTCAATGCTTTGACTCCTTTCTGTTGCTTAAAAGCAACTGAGTGTTGGATGACTGGAAAAAAAAAAAGCAGATTAGTTATCTCCCTCCCCCATGCACACACACCAAGATTTGTCTTTGGTATATAACAAAAATAAACCTCCCACCAGAGACCTTGGAAATCTTGAACCTTTTTACCCTCCAGAAGGATTTATTACTTTCCAATGAGCGGCTGTTCATGTGCTTCTCCTTCTTGTTCCTATTCATAGGATCAGATCCTGACTAGCATGCACAACCTCAAAAGAAAAGAAAGACTGAATACAAACTGTTTAAAAAAATAGCCTATTAAAAGTGTAAGCTAACTAGAGGTTGACACTGTATCCTATCATACGAGTAGCTGCCTTCAAGAGCCTTACCTTATAGGCGACACTGTTTGAGGAGTCCACAATGATAAACAGGGGCTTTCTTGTGAACGGGTAGAGATCTCCAGGGTGAAGACTGAAAAGCGAAAAGGACACTTCACAGAGTGCTAGAATTGCTGCAAAGCTGTGACAGTGCACAAGTTTCTCAGATGCACAGCTGCCCATGTCCAGATAAAAAGTAAGCACATTCCTCATGCCCTAGTTCTCAGATTCATCCTCAGAGAATAACTGCAAAACTAATTTGGTATTCTCTGTAACATGGAACTTCTTATTAGTTCTTTCCCAACAAGAAATGTTTATCTTCTCAAGAAGTCATCCATCATTAATTTGAAGTTTTCCAGTAATCACAGTAATACTTTTGGAATGTATAAATCATTATTTAGAGTTGCATATTCATTTCTAATTGTTCAAATTCAAGCCAATTATGACGTCCTGCACTGAAGAGTTTGAATTCAAGGGGCTTTGATGCATTTTCTCTTTAAGGACAAATTCTTCTGAATTTGCAGTTGTCACACTCATGAAACTTACCAGTGCATCTCCTTGTAAGACTGGTTTCGCTTGTGGATAGCATCCCCATTTATAATGTCCCGGTTACTATTTGTCAGAACACCACCAAAATCATATGGACCTACACATGACAAAAAAGAAACCTAAAATCAGCAGAGGTAACTCACCTCCGTTACGGATTTAATGATTACATGAAAGGGAGGAAGCAACCACAAATCCCAGAAAACTAAGTGAATCTGAACTACTATAGTTGTACGAAGGGGATGGAGGAATGTGGAGGCTTTACTAACTACATATTCAATTTTATGCATTTTTAGTAGTTTCAGCAGTATTTCAGTGTCAAATAGAAGCAAGCAATGCAACTTCGTAACTTCTAATTTATTTATTCATTATTTATCCACAAACATAATACAAATACTGGCTTTTGTTATACTACGTAGCAAAAAGATTAAAACTCATTACACATTTCATCCAGGAAAATTAATTACCTTTGTAAAATTACTATATGAGCTAGCATATTCTAGATTCAGATTTTGATCAAAAAATAAGGCTCAATCATTCAAAAATCCTGTAGCCTCTCAGAATAGATATAATATTATCATCTGCAGTTATAACACTGCAAAGGGGAGAAGAGAGAGCTCAGAGAATGAATATGTTTTCAATACTCCTAGAAAGGACAAAACAGTTTTAACCAGATTTCAAATCTGCAGCAAAGGTTTATTTTTTAAGATTTCAAATACAGAATTCACAGTTTTTAAATGCATACAGCCTGGACATGTGTTCCTAAGGTAAACTAAAGAAATAATCTGCTAAGTTTGTACAATGAGCTACCCGCCCAACTGTCTGATGGAGAGCAAAGATGAAACTAATGGCTATAAAAAATATCAAATCCTACACAAAAAAAAAAAAAGTGCTAGAGATACCAGGAAATATTTCTGCCATTGATATGGGTATGAAATGTCATTAACATTAGTAAAATAAAGTATTAGGATTTCCTCATTCTGTTACACATTTGCAGAGTTGTTTGACTCATATTTGGCCACCAAATGCTATTTTTTCAGGTTTGGATACATAAGACACCTTTCCATTTTAAGGGAAGCTTTGGGAATACAAAATTAGGAACAGAACATACATTAATTTAACACTGTTACAAATGTCTCATGTGAACTGTCAAACACAAATGGCTTACAGGCGATAAACACTGCAACGTGCAGCTGCTCTCCCTTTTAATAAAGGTAGAACTTTTTGGTCTGTGCAGACTACACTACCTTATTAAAAGAATGCAGTTGTAATGGGATTCATTTAATGAAAACTGAAGTCTGACCATGCAGCTCTTCAGACGACATAGCCTGGATGCCTCTACAGTAAGGTGTTAAGCTGAAACAATACATGCAGTGAAGTGGACATAACACAGGCTTTAAAGAACACGGTTTAGTTAGAACCTATCACCAAGTTGCAGCAAAAAGTAAAATGTTAAAAGCATTTAAAAAAATCACTGCCACAATACAAAGCTGACAGGGATTTTTTTTTTCCCTTTAACATTTTGAGAGCTCTATAAATCATGCATTGGGATGGACAAGGCATGCATCTTATAAAGGAATGCAAGTCTCAAACAGATGAGGCGTGTACAATATTTAGGATGTTAAAAACATTTTCTTTTTTTTTTTTTTCCTTAAATTATATAAACAGATCTTTTGACTGTGTCTACTTCAGCCAACCAGTTTTCAGCTTTTAGATTGCAGCTGCATCCAAATATTCTGCTAGGTTGCAAAGAACAGGAGGATGAGGTGAGGGGAATTGTCAAAAATCATGAGAAGGGCTTGAATTGTCAGATTAACAAGCGTGCAAATAGAACAGTCCCTGCAGACGCTTCAGCCCTTTTACCACCCATCTCCTGACCATATGTTCTCATAGTACTGGAGATTGGAAAGAATCACAAAGTGCCATTTAGCCATTTTATTAACTTTGCACTGATGCATCAATTGAGCTATGTGGTCTTCAAAATTGGTGAAGTTTTTAATACTTCAGGTGCATCAAAAACTGGGTATGTCCTTTGAAAAGGTTTCAGGTTAGTGCACACTAATTAAAACACAGGGAATTAACTATTTGTGGAAAAAAAAAGGCTATCTTACTAAGTAGATGGGAGAATAAGATTGACTTGTCTTTTAAAAGGAGCTTTGTGACATCTTTCTTGGTCACTTGTCCTGGAACATACAGAGAATTCAAGCCCTGTTCATGACAGGGAGCATTCCTTTATTGTACCTTCACTATCCGAACGACCTGATGGAAACACGCCCGTGGCAGACAAGTATATCAGCAGTACACTGTTCGCAGGCAGCTCCTGAAATTCAAATAAAGAGAAGAGTGGCAAAGGAAGATATGTGTAAGTTTATTTTGATATTCAATCATCACATTGATAAAACCATTGTCATTTAAGATTGTGCTACTCCTGCTTCTGGCTTCCCTTCACTCTATTCTTTGTATGTGTATATACCCTTCCCCACCACACACACCCCTTCAAATAGTTGAGTACACAAACAAAAGTGTAAACTGATGATACGTTCATACTTTTTTTCCCACACAGACCTTTAGGCTGATATTAGAGGTTCAAGCAGCACTAAAAAAGCATCTGCTTCCCCACAGACTCTCTTACTATCTAGCCAGATCTGAGGCCTTCCAAGATATGGAAATCAAAAGCTGCCAAGATCCATGCAGACCGTAACTCACAAATAATTCAGGATCCTAAAGGAAATTCTTTGTTTCCAAATATCCCAGAGTCTGCAACATCTGCCTCTTCCCCCTGACCCTTCTCAGCTGGACAACACATCCAGGTTTCTGTATAGACCTGTAAAAGAAATCTATTTTCCACCTTTCTAATGGGCTGTCTGCATGAGGAAACAGATGCTTTTAATTTCTGCAAAAGGCTGAGCATGCAGGCACCCAAAATTCTAACTAGTAAGGATGCACTTCCTTCACCTCACCAGCTGTTTCTTTACAGTTGTTTCTTGAAACAAACTGAAACTTGTTTCTTTATAGGATTCATATTCTATTTTTACTAGTAAATCCTAAGTTGCTGACTTGTACAGTCATAATTAAGCATAATGAGCCCAGCAACTTGAATAAATTTAAAAAAGCACAGCAACTGTATTAAAAGAAGTCTACAAATGTATAGATTACTTACATGGAAGAGAGTGGTGGGTAACAAAATAAGACAGGCAGATAAAAATATAGCACATGAAGGAGAGAGATACAATTCAAATGGGATACAGAACTGGAGACCTACCGGTATACAGTGCTTAAGAGCAACAGTTTCTTGACATACTTTCCTGATTTTAGATTGTGTTTAGCACAACATGAAGTAGAAGAATACTCTTAAGATTTTTCTGTTCTCCAGATCTCTTATCTCAATAAACATTTCCTATTTTTTATACATATATTTTTTTATATA